CTCTGTTACAATAAACAAATTCAATAAAGTTGCAGGAAGAGAAAATCAATATACAAAAATCTATTGCATTTCTATATACTAATAATGAACTATCAGAAAGAGAAATAAAAACAACTATCCCATTTACAACTGCATCCAAAAAGAAATAACCTAGGAATAAATTAAACCAAGGAGGTGAAAGGCCTATATACTGAAAACCGTAAGATATTAACAAAAGCAATTTTAAAAAATACAACCAAATGGAAAGATATTCCATGCTCACGGATTTGAAGAACTAATATCATTAAAATGTCCATACTACCTGAAGCAATCTACAGATTCAATGCAATACCTATGAAAATCCCAATGGCATTTTTCAAAGAAATAGAACAAATGATCCTAAATTGTGTGTGGAACTACAAAATACCCCAAATAAGGAAAGTAATCTTGAGACAGAACAAAGTTGGAAGCATCATGCTCCCTGATTTCTAACTATATTATAAAAGCTTTAGTAATTAAAACAATATGGTACTGGCATTAAAAACAGACATATAAACCAAGAGAACAGAATAGAGGGCCCAGAAATAAGCCCATGTATATACGGTCAATTAACTTATAACAGAGTCAAGAATATAGAGTGGGAAAAGGACAGTCCCTTGATAAACGGTGTTGAGAAAACGGGACAACCACATGCAAAAGAATAAAACTAGACCAGTATCTGACACCATCCACAAAAAATCAACTCAAAATGGATTAAAAACTTGACTGTAAGACCTGAAATCATAAAACTCCTGGAAGACAAAATGATCAGTAAGCTCCTTGATACAAGTCTTGGCAATGATTTTTTTAAAATCTGACACCAAAGGGGCACCTGGATGGCTCAGCTGGTTGAACATCCAACTCTTGATTTCGGCTCAGGTCATGCTCGAGGGATCAAGGGATCGAGGGATCGTGGGATCGAGCCCTCCTCAGGCTCCATGCTTGGCGTGGAGTCGCTTGGGATACTCTCTCTCCCTCTCTGCCCCTGCCTGCACTCTCACTCACACTCTCTCTCTCCCTTTAAAATTAATTAATTAATTAAATCTTTAAAAAATCTGATACCTAAAGCAAAAATAAATGTGACTATACCATACTAAAATGCTTCTGCACAGCAAAGGAAACAGTCAACAAAATAAAAAGGCAACCTACTGAATGGGAGAAAATATTTTCAGATCATCTGATAAGGGGCTAATACCCAAAATAATGAAGAATTCATAGAACTCAATGGCAAATAAACTAACAATCCAATTTATTTTTTTTTAAGATTTTATTTATTTATTTGACAGAGA